CTTCCTTCCTTCCTTCCTTCCTTCCTTCCTTCCTTCCTTCCTTCCTTCCTTCCTTCCTTCCTTCCTTTCAGTTTTTCAAGACAGGGTTTCTCTGTGTAACAGTCCTAGCTGTCCTGGAACTAACTTTTGTAGACCAGGTTGGCCTTGAACTCATGGAGATCCACTTGCCTCTGCCTCCCGAATGCTGGAATTAAAGGCATGTGCCACCATTGCCCGATGTGTAGAGCATTTCTAAATTAGTGAGCAATGTGAGAGGGCCCAGCCTATTGTGAATCGGACCACTCCTAGGCTGGTAGTCCTGAATTTTTATAAGAAGGCAGGCTGAAATCAGGTGGTGGTAGCACTCGCCTTTAATCCCAGAACTTGGAGGCAGAGACAGGCCGATCTTTGTGAGTTTGAGGCCAACCTGGTCTACAGAGTGAATCCCAGGACAGCCAGGATTATGTAGAGAGATCCTGTCTCAAAAAGGAAAAAAAAAAACTCCGCAAGTCATGAGTGGCAAGCACAGTCCCTCCCCCCATGGCCTCTGTATTAGGTTCCTGCCCTGCTTGAATTCCTACCCTATCTGCTTTTAATGATGGATTATGATTGGACTATATAAACAAAATAAGCCCTTTTCTCTCAGGTTACTGTTTGTTGGTCATGGTGTTTCATCACAGCAACAGCGGCCCAGTTAGTTAGTTAGACAATATCCTAACCCTCAGGCCTTAGATTGTGACTGTGTTTAGAGACACATTTTAAAAAGAAGTGATTAATTTGAAACGAGGTTATGGGGCTTGACCCTACTCCAGTATGACTAGTGTCATTTTTATTTATTTATTTTTTTAAAAAGAAGAATATTTATTCACTATGTATACATAGTATTCTGCCTTTATGTTTGCCTGCAGACCAGAAGAGGGCACCAGATCTCATTACAGATGGTTGTGAGCCACCATGTGGTGGCTAGGAATTGAACTCAGGGCCTCTTGAAGAACAGCCAGCACTCTTAACCGCTCTCCAGCTCCAGCTGGTGTCTTTATGAGAAGAAACTAGCCAGGGGAGGTGCTGCATAGCCACCAATCCCAGCACTTGAACTGCTCAGGCAGAGAGAGTGAGTTCAAGGACAGCCTAGCTACATAAGGAGACCACATCTCATTAAAAAAAATAACAATGTAGCTCTGGAGACAGTTGAACACAGAGGGATGTCCATGTGGGGACACAGAGAAGAAAGCAACCAGCACCTTGTCTCAGACCTCTGTTCCCAGGGCTGGGAGAATGAGCCTCTCTAGGCCACCACTCGGCCAGCGCTGCCTGATGTGGTTGCCTTCCCTTCTCTCTTGCCTCCTCCTCTGCCATTCCAGGTGACATCACTGGTGGCAGGGGACAAGCGGGAATGCTGGGTTCTCTTTGTCCCTTCCTTCTTCCCTGTTCCCTTTCCCAGGGTCTGCCTTGTCCTTGGTTGCTGCACACCTGTGGGCCCAGCTTGCTGTGTGTTTTCCTGTTGTTCACATACGTGCAGCTGGGGGTGTCCCTGTTGGGGCCTGTGACCCAGGTGACAGGTGGCAAGAATCCATGGAAGCAGGCCCTCTTGTCCCCAGAGGCAGTGTGGAACCACCAATTTGTTTCTCCATCACACTCACCTCTGCCCATTCTGTCATGTGTCCATCCATCCATGGTCTTTCTTGGCTGTCATGTTCACTGTCTGTCCCCCCACTGAGGGCCGCTCTTGTCCACGTGTCTCCAGCACCTGTGCCCAGCAGCCGTTTGTTGAGAGAACATGTGATTGAAGGGTTGTACTGTGTGTAGTAGACGGTCATGTGCTGTCATGTCCTGCAGACTGCAGAAGATCTGACCATTTTAACTGTAGGAGCCGGAAGTCCGGGCAGGGGCGGGGGGGGGGAGGGCAAGAACACGGAAGTCCTAGGCCCAGGAAAACACGTGTGGCAGAACTTTGTGGGACCTTAGCGGGGTTCATGATCTCAGTGACAATGTGGCTGATGGCAACTCTGCATCCCGGGCTAAGGACATGGTAATTACATTCCAGGAAATTGCCTCCGGTCACCCTGGGTCTGCGCCTCCGCTAGTTGGCAGAGGAGCCCTGTCAGGAAATATCACATCTTGGAATTAAAGACTAGGAAGGAACAGGGCTCCCTGCCTTCAGCAGGGGCCCCCGGAGCGCTGGCTGCTGTATCTGTGGCTACCTGCTCTCACCTGCTGCCTCCCCGAGTCCCAGAGGAAATTGCAGGCGGCTGGGTCCCTGTCTAGGTAATTGAATCCTGAGCGAATGTGACAAATTCTCGCCAAGGCTCCTCCAGCATGCTTCCTGCCTGTTCTTAGAAACGACACAGTCACAAACTCGGCAAATCTCCAATCAAACTTCTTGCGGTGTGAAAATGTTAGAGATGGGAGAAGGAGCCTGGGAAGGCAGGGAAGCCTCGCTGAGCTTTTCTTCTGGTGTTAATCAAAATTCACAGTCTGGGGTCTGCTGGGACATCTCCCCTCCCCACACTCTCTGCAGCCACCCTTTGAGGACGACCCAGGGACTTCCTCTTTCTCACTCCCTTATCGCACCTTTTGCTTTTTTTTTTTTAAAAAAAATAATTTATTTAAATTTATTTTATGTACATTGGTATGAAGACATCAGATCTCCTGGAACTGGAGTTACAGACAGTTGTGAGCTGCCATGTGGGTGCTGGGAATTGAACCAGGGTCCTCTGAAAGAGCAGTCAGTGCTCTTAACCACTGAGCCATCTCTCCAGCCCCCCAGCCTTTTGCTTTTATTTTAAAATTATTATTATTATTATTATTAATATACACACATATTATGACGTGTGTATGTGGGGGGGCGGGGTAATGCATGTGCACCTAAAGGTCAGATGACAACTTTTTTCTTTTTTTGAGACAAGATTTCACTGTGTAATCCTGACAGACTCTGCCTCTGCCTTCTGAGCGCTGGTGTTAAAGGCATGCGCCACCACATCCAGCTAACTTTAGCTTTTAATATAAATTTTTAAGGGTTTTTTTTTGAGAATTTTATAAACAGGCCCTGTGTTTCCACCATTGCCACCTTTCCACCTCTCCTCCCGCACCCCCACTCCCTCTCCAGCCCATGACCTCTTCTTTAATTATTAATTTTACATCTGTGTATTTGTGGCTCAGTGAGTGTATTCAGTGCTGCTCCTACGTGTGCCTTTAGGCTGACCACTTGGTATTGAACAGTCAACCAGGGGGCTCCCTGTCTCTGGAGAAGACAGGTTCCCCTCCCCCAGCAGCCATTAATTGCCTGTGCTTCTTTATCTTGGGGTGGGGCTTTGCGGCAAGTCAACAGGAGTTGCCACTGTCAGGTCTTATTGAGGCAGCCATGTGGTTATGATTTCATGGGTGCAGCTTCCCAGGCACACCTAGAGGGTTCTACCTGGCAGCCGGCCAGAGGACAACTTTTGAACAACTCTGTTCTTCCACTGTGGTGTCCGGTGCCTGACCGCTACCACTACAACACTGGACCCCCAGCTTCATCGTGAAGGATCTTCTCCATTTCGTGCACATAAGCTGCTCCCAAATGCCTGCTTCATTCTTAACTGCCCTTCATTTGCTATAGTGTAACTTTCTCGCAGTAGAAATGGCCTCCCAAGTCCAGAGCTTCCTGACTCAGCACGGTACCGCTGTCCCAGGGATCTGGGCTAAGACGCCCGACCCCACCTGGTGTCCCTGCTCCAGCCAGGGCACAGGTAGCTCCAGCTCCTCCCGCTTGGACACTCTGCCTCATGACCTTGTCCTTGTCTCTACAGAAAAGCTGGGGCACTGCAAGCTGAATGTGGCTGAGGTGACACAGTCCGAGATCGGGCAAAAGCAGAAGTTGCAGACAGTCCTCGAGGCTGTGCAAGACCTGCTTCGACCCCACGGCTGGCCGCTGCGCTGGAATGTGGACTGTGAGTGGCCTCTGTGTGGGGACTGAGGGTTGGAAGGAACCATCCTTTGTCTTTCCGTGTTGACATCGATCACTCCATTATGGCCTTGTGGGTAAAACCAGTGTACCCTCTTGACCTGTTGTGCCAGAGGCCGGGTGGCAGAGAAGAGGTCTGGAGATGCTAGGGGGGAGAGCACACAGCAAAGGGCACAATCGCACACCAGGGCTTTGCCTCCCCACCTCCTTACACACCACACACACACACACACACTCCCCCACCCCCACTGTGTCTCACCTCTAGGGTTCTTATTTGTTCATATGTTTGTTTATTTTGTGTGGGTCTGAGTGCACGTGTCTGGAGGCCAGTGGTCGGCCTCAGACAGTGCTCCTTAGGAACCACACCCCTTGTTTGCTTTGAGGTAGAGCCTCTCACTGAGACCTGCAGCTCACCAGTGTGGTGGGGCTGACAGGCCAGTGAACTCAGGCTCCTTCTGCCCCCAACTACCCTGTGCCGGAATTACTAGCATGGGCTACCACAGTTGGCTTTTTTTAAAACTTTAACTTGAGTTCTCATACTCGTGTGACGAATATTTTATGGACTGAGACGTCTCCTAAGACCTTGTATTGTTTTTAAGAGTCTCATGTAGCCCAGGCTAGCCTTGAACTCAATATGTAATCAAGGCTGGCCGATTCTCCTGAATTCTGGGATTATATGCCTGGTCCAAGAATTTTTTTTTTGTTGGGACTTGACACCAAACACCCAGTGTAGTGGTACAAAGTGAATCCATGTGGGAGTGGCTTACTGAGGCAGGTGCCAAGGAGCCCATAGCTAGCTCAGGAATGTCATGTGTCAGCTGGCTTGAGGGGTTTATGGCCTCACAGTTCTTAGCTCAGAGGGAACAGGAGGGGATGAGCCGGCTGAAAAAGCCGATGGCTTCTGTCCTGCCCATGCCCCCACCTCCTCTGGCTCCTTGCAAGGCAGGTGTGATGTGGCGTGATGCCAAATACTGCCCTTCAGGGCCAGGGCTCTGTGGCCTGCATAGAGAGCCCACATCTTGGCTGTGGGGATGGGGTTGACCCTGCCCCTGGTTTCTTGGCATGACTTTGGGTAGACCTATCCTTCTAACTCAGGTGCTGGGGCTATGGGTAGGAGGTGCCTTAAGAGCTGAAAACCCCTCCACAGATTTACTATAACCTGGCCTGAAACTTTCTATTCGGTGAGAGCCAAGGCAGGCAGCCAGGACTGAATTGAACCCAGAGCAGCCTCTACCCTTGTCAATCACCCCCATGGGGACAGCTGATTATATAGTGGCAGAAGTTTGCCTAGTGCCAATGATAATGACACGTGTTCTTGTGTATGTGGCTATGACCTGCCCCTTCTCTCTGCAACCTGCAACTCTCTGCTTTAAAGAACACAAGGCTTTTAAAAGTCACTGCCAGGACCAGGCACACAAACCTTTAATCTTAGTGCTCAGAAAGCTGAGGCAGGTGGATCATTGTGTGTTTGAGGCCAGCTGTTCTAGCCCTACCAGGATTACATAGTGAGACCCTGCCAAAAAATAAAAAACAAAATAAAAAAATAAATGATTGTCAAGTGACCTTGAGCCAACAAGAAAGAATAGAGAGAAGCCAGGCAGAAGCAGGCAGAAGCCCTCTGGGGCTTCTATTTGAGGTCCTTTTGTCCTCCCCCAGAGGTCTCCTTGAGACCTGCCCTCGAGATGGTCCCCTACTCTCTACAGCATCTGACCTGAGGCCGCTCTTTCTTCCCTCTCCACCCAAAGCTATCCATGGGAAGAACCTGGTGTCCATCCTTCACCTCCTCGTCTCCCTGGCCATGCACTTCAGGGCCCCCATCCACCTTCCTGAGCACGTCACCGTGCAGGTGGTGGTCGTCCGGGTGAGTACACTAGGCCGTCTCTTTGCCCGTCTCTCTGCTGGCGAGGCGAGCTGCCTCTTTTTCTTCTTGTAGTTTTCCAGCCCTTTCCATCCCAAGAGGCTACCTTGTATTTTTCCCTCTTGATAAAATGCATATCTCACCCTGGCTCTTTGAGGAATGATTGGAGCCGGAACAATGGCGTTGATTTGAAGAGTGGCGCACGGGTGTTGAGGTTTAATTTCCCAGATTTCTGAAAAGAACGCTCATTTCTCTCCAAAGCCACCGAGTCGGAATCCAATCCCCTTGAATGTGCTTATTACACACTGGAGGAGGCTGCGACCGGCAGAGCGAACTAGACACCCAAATTAAAGGCTCTCCACATTTGCTCCGTATTATAAGCCATCATTCCCCATTATCTCTTTTTTTAGGTTCATTTCTCTTGATTTACTTAGAGAAGTGAGCCAAGACCTGGGGTCCTGGTAATGGGGCCAGGCTTGGATTTTCCATGCGTGCTGTCCTGGGCTTTAGCATTCAAACACACAGATGCTGACCTGACTTGGTTCCTGTGCACGACTTCAAACGTATTAAATACCTACTGGGTGCCGGGCATACGCCTGAATTTGTGGAGACCCTGAGTGAGGAAATCCCATTTGGCCTGGAAGAGCCACTGTGTCTGCCAAAGGTCTGAGGTCACTGTTGGGACCTGTGTGTCACTGGTGTTTATGTTACTGGAGGCGCTCAGTTTCACTCTGTTCTCTGAATTTTTAACTTATCTGTTCTGTGGTCTGTGGTCCATGACAACCTGGCTGAGCCTGTGTTTTCTGAAGCCATACTGACCTCTCTTCTACCCTGGGAGCTTAGTTGTACCCTGCTGGGAAGGCCCTTTCTGATATTAAGTGAAGGTCACCTGCCATTTCTCCTTGCTTCCTTCCCAATCAGGATGTTTGTGGTCAGCGAGAGTGACGCAGACCCAGGGGGACCATTCCTGTGGCCCTAGTCTTGGCTGCTGGCTCCCAGGCAGCAGGCTGGGAAAGGCTTCCCAAGGACACAAGGGAAAAATGGTTCCTAAACCTACCTACGTCAGCCCCAGGCCCCAAGAGTGCCGAGCGGGCTCACTGTCCAAGTATTTCCTTTCACTCTTACACGTTGGTCCAAGACAAGCTTGGGTTTTTGGAAAGTCTGACCCCCTCCGGCAAGTCCCCTCCAGCATGCCGTGCCTTGACCAGGGTTCCTGAGCTGTTAGCACAGACTCCAAAGTAGAAGAGACCTCGGTGAGGAGGTCCAGCTGGACAGCAGCTTCTCAGAAGTCAGAAGTCACCCCCCAGGCCCTGCTCAGAACTTCTTTCCGCCTCTCCTGAGGTCCTCTGGACTGCCCATACGCTTGCTCGGGTAACCCACTGTCTTGCTTGAGATGGGGCAAAGTGAGACATGCGGCATTTCACAGCAGGAAGGCATGGAGCCCACGCCTTGATCACCCCCAGCAGTGGAAGCGTTGGGCTTTCGATTTCTTTTGCCTCTTGATTTCTCAGGGTTGCCGTGATTTCCCTACAAACTCCGGGTGATGTTGCTAACCATTCGATTATCCAGCGCTAAGTTTACCAATGACTTCCCTAATGCCCAGCAACTGATAGGCACCGCGTTCACGCTTAGCATGTAAACAGGTGAACCAAACACCTAGAGTCTTTTTTGGCGGGCTCTTGAGTATCAGTTGGCGCAAGGCCAGGGGTGAGCCAAGTTGAGGTCACCAGCTGCCGTTACTTGTTAATAAGAACGAGTCTTATTATAACGATCCCTACAGGCCAGCTCAGGGAAAAATGCGAGGGGCTTCTAGTTAGAACAGATTTCTGTCCTTTAGAAGCTTCAAGCAGAAGCCTGTGGTTCTAGTTACTTTGGCTGACCTCCGGGGAGTCCCAGTGTATTTGGGCTGCCATCCACCGTCCCCTCTGCCCTCCTCCTGGCACCTCTGTGTGCTTGCTAGGGTTGCTGGGGTGAAGCGCCATTAATGGGCGTGAGTGGGGCTTCAAGTGGCAGGTGGATTTCTTCTCTCAGCACCGCTGTCTTCAGGAAGCAGTCCTCTTGGCCCTGATCGGCTTCTGCCAGCTGTCTTTAGTGTCCCAGGTTCATGGCTGTAGTCCTTTGTTCTGCTCCTTCGTCTTCAAGAGTGCCATTCACCCCAGCTTCAGAGTTCATCGCTACTCATTATTCTGTGGCCTCTTTTCATTGGTATTGGAAGCCACCAAGGAAAAGAACAAGTTCCGAGGCCCTGGGTAGATGCATTTGGAGCCTTCTGTATGGCCCATTGCTCACATGTTCTTCCTCTGGTGTTTCCCAGCATGCCTCATGAACTCTCTGATTACCCATGTTCCCCATCCCAGCTGCAGAATAGGAGCGTTATTTAGTGTGTCCTTTCTGGGACATTTCTCTTGAGCCTTGCTTAGCAACCATATCGCAGGGAACCATGGTGAACAATTTGGGGACAGTCACAGGCACTGAAAGGGTCTCCCTTGTGGTCACCGGGAGTATACCTTCCCTGGGCATGAAGAGTGCACTGGGTGTGTGACCCTTTCTAGGCTGGCATCCTGCCCAGGGTGAGGGGACTTCCCATGAAGTCAGCAGGTGCTCGCTTCTGCACTCCTGACCCACGGTCTATGCATTGATCTGCTTGCTTTGGGGTTTTCAGAAGCGGGAAGGCCTGCTGCACTCCAGCCATGTCTCGGAGGAGCTGACCACGACCACGGAGTAAGTGGATGACAACTACCCCTCAGGGTTTTGTACCTCATGTCAACCGACCCTCAGGGACCCATGCCCCATGCAAGCCAGGCCCTGACTCTGGCTTCAGCCAGGGACACTGGCCTGAAGGAGCCTGTATTTCGCCATATTCTTTAGTCTTAGTGTATGCTTTTTTGTGTGCTTCCTTTCTCCACACATTTCCTTCTGGACTTTCCGTGTCAGTCTCTACCATTGGAAGCTGATCCCTATTTTAGAACTGAAGGGATGGGTTCAGTCAGCAAAGTGCTTGTTGTGTGAACGTGAGAAACTAATCTTCTGCACCCACATTTAAAAAAAAAACATTCAGGTGCAGGAGTGCATGTCTGTAATGCCATCGCTGGGGTGGCAGAGACAGGAGGATCTTTGGAGCCCGTTGATCAGCCTGTCTAGCCAAATCAGTGAGCTCCAGGTTCATTGAGAGACCCTGCCTCAAAAACAAGGTGATGAGTCAGTCTCTGCCCTCGGCACACACGTCACACATACATTACATACAATTTAAAAAAATCAAGTCAGGCGGTGGTGACATGCACCTTGAATTCCAGCACTCGGGAGGCAGGGGCAGGTGGATCTCTGTGAATTTGAGGCCAGCCTGGTCTACAGAACTAGTGCCAGGACAGCCAGAGCTACATATAAAAGCCTGTCTCAATCCTCTGCCCCCAAATTTAAAAGAATGTCAGGGGTACCAGGTGGGCTAGCCCAGGATGGCCATGGAGCCTGTCGTGTCTTGCTTGTTTCCCAATCTTCATCTGTCAATCACCAGTTGCTCCTTTAGAGGGAGGAACCATGTGATCAGCCAGAACTGACCTATGGTGGACACTGTTGAGTCTTCTGGTTTCTTTGAGAAAGCTAGACTTTTTAAAAGCCTAGAGGAACTACACCCTAGTAACAAATCAGACAGTGCATCATGTGTGGTTCCACAGCGCCCATGACAGATCCTAGGCACTCACTGCTTTTGCCCCTCCTGACTAAACCTGTTTCAATATTTAAAGCATTGCTGGTGTCAGAGCTAGCTCACCAGCTCCATTCACGGAGATGCTACGGCTGTGTGTCCATAGCCTTTCAGCAGCTGACTGGCACGGAATCCACTCAGGCATGGTGAGTGGGCTGCCAGAGAAGTCGAAGTTATGGCAGTGTGCCCTGTGATGTGTGTGTGTTCTGTCCTGCTTCCCGCAGCCCTCAGGGAAGGGCAGGGAGTGTAGTGATGTCAGGTGTGAGTGTGTTGTGTCAGCACTGTGGGTCTGTGGCTGCAGAAGGGTGAGTTTGGGGAATGCACAGCCGGGTGGGGGTTTGGTGGCCTGACTCGAGATACAACCCCTGAGCCATCTTATTTTCCTCACAAGCCTGCAGGCAGTCATGTGAATGGGCTCAGCCAGGCAGTTTTGCTAACCTTGCTGTATGACGGGTCCTGTGGTATCTGTATCTGAGGGCTTCCCAGGTCCTGATGGACCCAGGGAGCCTCTTATACTGCCTTTCCTCCTCACAGACTGAGCTTCAGCTCTCTTTCCCTCTGTGTTTTGAGAGGCTGAGTACCCTCATCCTGGCCCCATCCTGGATTCCTGACCCGTGCCTTTTTTTTGTGGGTCACAGTAAGTCTCGGGTCATTCTGAGATAGGGATTTGGGAGAACATACTCCACCTAATGACCTTGAGTGGGTCGGGGCCTGTACGGCTGTGGGAAGTAGCTGAAGCCATCTATTGCTGTCTGCTCAGGGCAAGGGGGACCAGAGAAGGCAGCAAGAGGTGTTGGGGGCTCCACAGTCATCAGGGGCAAAACCTGAAAGCAGAGAGAGGTTTGGCCAATGCCCTCCTAACTGCCCACCATCTGTGCCCGGCACTCCAGAGGCCTGCTGTGTGCCCACCAGAGCTGGTCATGGAAGAGCAGGGCAGGTGGAGGACACGGTTCATCCATTCCAGGGCTGACAAGGAGGCAGTTGGGTAGAATGTAAGATCAGACGCAGGGGGAGAGCTTGGGAAGTTCTGTGCCATTGTGGTGTTTCCAGGGGCAGGAGCACCCTGGAGTCAGGGATGGGGACACTTCCTTTGAGCCATTTCTGCTGGATGCCAGACTCTTTTCAATAGCCAACGGAGGAGCTGAGATGTCTCTAGTCCCTTGTCTGCCATCCTCCTTTTGTCCAACCTGGAGTTTACTCTCTCTTGTCCACCCCCACCCCCATCCTTGTGGCCCCAACAGTCCTGATGGATAAGCAGAGCATCAGGTGCCTGCCAAAACTATAATGGGCCATCAACATCCCTGCTGTGCACCTCTGGCTATATCCTGTCTGTGTCTTCTCTGGTGCACTTACCTTTGGGGATGCACAGGCCCGAGGTTAGTGTTTGTGTGTGTGTGTGTGTGTTTGTTTTGATTTGTTTGTTTATTTATTTATTAGAAAGGGTCTTAACTATGTGGCTTTGAACTCACAGAAATCTCCCTACCTCTGCCTCCCGAGTACTGGGATCAAAGTTATGCATACTACACCAGGCACACTGTTAACACTTAGCTCCTATTTTCCATCTGTCTTTCCCAGAGGGCTCTCCCTTCAAGAAGCCCTTCCAGCTTGCCAGCTGAACAGGAGTGAATGGTCTTACCACTCCCATAGTCTTCCACGATCTTTCTTGTTACCAGCTCTGAGCTGTGGAGGAGAAACTCTGGCTAGGTTCAGGTTCAGGGTGTTTGGCTCTGTGTCTTTATTTCCTGCACATTGTGGGCCTTTCTAGTAAGTATTTACTGAGACGGAGCCCAAGCCTTTGCTCTAGAGGTTGCTGCCTAGGGACTGAATGCATCTCTTAGCTTCAGGAAGGGCACATGTGGGTGGCAGCTGGAAGTTGGCTCCAGGACCATGACTCATGGTGGCTGGGCTAGCTGCAGCCAAACTGTCTTAGTTTACTTTCCATGGTTGTGGTAAACACCGTGACCAAAGGCACCTGAGGGAGGAAATCGTTTACTCCAGTTTCCAGCTGTAGTCTCACACTGAAGAGAAGTCAGGGCGGGAACTCAAGGAGAGAACCTGGAGGTAGACACTGAAGTGGAGGTCATGGATCCAACACCCCCACGCAGATGTGCATACAGGCAGGGCAGCAAAAGGTAAAAATAAAAGAGCCCCATGGAGTCTTTGAGGGACTCTCAAAATTCCCTCCAAAACGTCACCAGTGAGGATTCCCAGCATTATTTTCCAAGTTCTCACAACAGCTCATTAATCTTTAAGCAAATGGCTTTTCTAGCCCAAAGTTCCAGACTCCTTCTGCCTCTAGCCCAGTGCTTCTCGCCCTTCCTAATGCCACGACCCTTTAATACAGTTCCCCATGTTGTGGTGACCCCCACCATAAAATTATTTCGGTGCTACTGCACAACTGCAATTTAGCTGCTGTTATGAATCGTTAGCATCTGATATGCAAAATGTCTGATAGGTGAACCTGGGAAAGGGTCACTGGAGCCCCCAAAGGGCACACAACTCACAGACTGAGAAACACTGCTCTATCTGATGGGCACGGCTGTGAGACAATTTGACCAGGATCAATATACTCCTACGTCCCATGATCCATTATGTCTGTCCCCTCCATACCAGGGTGGTCACTGTGTCAGGAAAGAGGGCAGTTTGCTGTCATTCATGTGCTGAGGCCAGCCATCTGTACATGTTCCTCACCAGGGGGCCCTGGGGCTGGGTGCTGGGGTCTGGTTGGCTCTACCTGTCCCCTTCTTAAGACTTGGTCCAAGTGACCATCTGACTCTTTGTTCTTGTTTCCAGGATCATGATGGGCCGGTTTGGTAAGTACCCTGGTTTGGGATGGGACATGCTGAGACTATGGGCGCGCAGGGTCCAGCCAGAAAGCTCTGGGCTTCTCAAGGTCATGCATGTGAACTTGGGCAGGAGGGGTGAGGCTGGAGGGAGGGAGGAGTGCCAGCCTGGAGAATGTCTCTAGCTTACTTTTAGGAGGGAGGGAGAAAAGGAGGTAATTACCCTCTCACCTGTCCTTGTCCCCTGGGCAAGAGAGGGCAGACAAAGGAACCAAAAACCTGTGAGGGGCAGCATTTAAGCCCTCTGAAGCAAAAGCCTGGCTCCTGGCTTAGGGGTGGAGGGAGGCTGATGTGGGCAGTTCAAAACAAAAAGTCCCTGACCACAATGGTGTTCTCCAGCCAGCAAGGAGGGGAGGAAAACAGAAGCCAGCTAGAAGCTTCCAACTCAGTTCCAGATGTGTGCCTGACCCTAGGGAATCCTTGGGGTTCAGGTGCCTCCTCCACAACCCCACAGAGAGCTCTTCTCTAATCTGGAGGGTGTAAGGATGTGTGTCACCCCTGTGGGGAGCAGACCCAGCTCTGATGGCCTGGAAGGTCTTAAGTCTGAGAGAAAGCCGCAGCCATGTGGCCCTGCGCCTTCTCCAATGGACAGGTGCTACGGCTGCTTGGAGATAAAGCAACTCAGCTCTCCCGTTTCCATCCTAGGCTGTAATGTCATTGTTATTAAACCCAAATAAAGAAGGCAGAAGGGAGCCTTTATCCAGTCTGTGAAGGAGAGGCAGGGTGGAGGTAGCCGTGGGTCCACGCGGGACCCCTGGTGGTATCCGGGTGCAGGCTGGTTTCGAGCCACCCTCTCCCTATCGCCTCCCCTGAGGATACAGAGGCCAGAGGTGAGAAGATGGCAACTGAGGGGGCCTGAGATGCCTCTGAGTGTGGAACTGTCACTTCTGTGTTTGGGTTGGCCCTGTTTCAGGTTCAGAGGATTTGAAAAGAGTTGGTTTGGTTGTGGGGAGGGGAGCCTGGGCCCTGCCGGTATCTTGGGAGCCCTGGCAGCTGGGAAGAACACCTGGCAAGGCACACAGGGTGTGGCTCCCAAGGGGAAAGCCAGGTGCACCAGGACTCAGCCGCAGCGCTGGGGACATCCGAGGCCATAAGAGGCCTCGGAGGCTGTACTGATTTCACTTCTCACATGCTCTGGCGTAAGATGAAACAGGCTATTAGCTAGTGACAGGCAATTAGTTTCGCCCCCGCCTTGTGCTTCTGCTGACGCAAAGAGGTCTCCTAGTTACACGTCTGACAGCCTTAGCCTCGGTGCAGTGAGTCCCTGGGCTCCCAGGCATCCTCTTGGTGGGGAGTGAGTGACACAAGATTTCTGGGCACATCTGGCTTCAGTGCCCTGCCAGGGTCTTGTCACACTACTGCTAGTGCTACCACAGTGCCCTCTGCTATGTCTATTTCCACTGAGCCCTCTGCTTCTTTGCACACTGCTGGGGAGGAAGGTCCCCAAACACCCCTTGTCATATCTGTTTACTGTCCACAGTCCCTGCAGTGGCCTCTAAGGATGTCCCAGACATCACATCCCCTGTGGCCTCTCGAGTATCTAGGCCTCACCCTGTGGCTTCCTCAGTTCCATTGCTCTCCGGCTGAGCTGCCCTCCCGCTCAGTTACCCCATGGCTCCCTCCTGCATTGGTTCGGCTGTCGCTCACCAGGGATCCCCTGCCACCAGCCAGCACACACTGGTCCTCTACTCTCAGGTTGTTTTCTTTGTGTCTATAACCATCCATCAGCCCTACTCCCAGGAGCCTCGGTGTTGGAGTGTGTTCCCTTGGCCCAGGACAGTTTGTAGTCAGTCACCCCCAGGCTGCATGATCTCAGCCGCCCTCCCTAAACCCTGTCTCATTTGAGGAGGGTCCGAGACAGCATGCTGACCCTCCTAGGCTGAGCCTTGCTGGAACCAGTTCCCGCAGCCTGCTTGGCCTTCCAGTGCTGTGAGGAGTTGAACAGATCCTCTCTGGTCCCTCTTCCACCTTTCCAGCAGAAAAAGGGGTGCCCAGCCACTTCCCATCATCGTCTTGTCCTGGCTGAGGTGGGAGCAGGTTTTTCCTCTCCCTGGAAACAAGTCTCCTGGGAGCTGGGAGGTTAGAGCCTGGTCTCCATAGCAACGGCTTTGCCAGTTGCCTTTTCTCTAGCTGGTGGCCCTTCCTCCCCAGTTCCCCCTCTCAGGAGCCCTTTCTGATGCTGTCAGGATGGGATGGGCAAGAAACGGAAGCAGCTCCCTCATCCCACGCTTAGTTTGCTGTGACTCAGTCTCCCCCCTTCCCCTCTCTGCTAGAACTCGTGCTAAAACTCTGACCTGGGGTTCACACCCCTGTTCACACCCGCTGGTCACCGTTCACCCAGGATGCCGCAGTGAGCCATGTAGCTCCTGTCAGCCTCCCTCCCGAGCCACCCTACTCTTAAATCTCTTTGCATGGTTTCTCCACTCTGGCTGCCATGCCCGTCCCCTTCTGATCGCTCCAGCAAACCTGGCTTGAACCTCGAGGCCCTTTCCTCCACCCCTCCATGACTCTGACCTCTTGTCCGCATGTACACACTTGGGTGCTGCCAGAGACCAGCCTGGAAGAGTTAGTCAAAGCTCCAAAGCTGAGCGTTATGAACAGGGGCTGCAGGACTGAGAAATAGGAACCCCCAACCCTGTCCTGGGTTCCTGACACTGGGTGGATGTATGACTCACTGTGGCCTTAGCCTTTGCTTTCAAGGGGACTCAGAAATGTGGATTGGGGAGAACCTTTAGTCTGAAGGAGACTGAGTGAGGCTCAAGGCAGATCTGAGACCCTTCTGTCTGTGCCCTTCCCAACTAGTAACTTTCTCAGCACAAGAGGGAAATTGTGGAGACCCAGACATGCCTGAGGGTGGACTTGTCCCCGGACCCCAGCCCAGCTCCTGATGCTCACCAGGGTAGTGGGGTAACAGACTGGGTTCTTCCTACTTACAAAGGAAGAAACCCTTTGACTATGGGAAGTGGCCTGAAGTCTGTGGGCTTTCATATCACACAGTGAGGATATGAACCCAGCTCTACCCTTTCCCCCCAAACCCTGTTTCGAGTCCTTGGTCCCTTCTGGCCACAGGACACACTCTGATGTGTCCTCTAGACCCAGGTGAGCAGCCAAGCGTGGGAGGCGCCCAGCAGCCGCCCACATAGCGCTCTGCCAGCCCAGCGGTGGCCCGGCTAAATAAACCAGTGACGTCAAGCATCTTGGCTCCTGGGGCTTTGCCTAAGCGGCTTTACAGGGCTGCGCTGCTTCACGAGGACTAAGCTCCTTTTGCCCCTTTACAGATTGTTTTCCCGGGGATAATCTGACTTAGCTGATTGTGGCAGAGAGTGACAGCTGGCGCTAACAGAGGGTAGCTTTTTGTCCCCACCGACTCTGAGGGGAAGGAGCTGCCTCCCTTCCCCCAACAGACACACTCCAGCATGCACGCGCGCGCGCGCGCACACACACACAGTGTTCCTTCTCTTCATTTAGCCTCTCCCCTTCCCAAGGCTTACAACGAGGCCCCAGGTTGGATGGAGAGGTCTCCAGACCCTTCCCTGGCCTGAATCTCTGGCACTTTCCTCTCCAGGCTAGGTGGGTAGGAGGCTTCCTCTAAATCACCTGACTGGCTTTTTCAGCTCACCCCAGCCTTCTTCATTCTCCTCCTTCCTCCTCCTCAGTATTGCCCCTTCCCCAAGATAGGAGAAGGCTCCCTGTGCACCCACTCCCACAGGGACTCCACGGTGGAGCTGGGAGTGGATGGCCTCTCTGCTGGCTCGGTCCCAGTAACATACAGTGCCCCAAGAAGCAAGCAGACAGAGGTCAGGACCTAGGTCCTTTCCAGGGCTTCCCCTTCCTCCGCAGCGCTCTGTTGGCCCTGGAGCCCCCAGGCCTCTGCTTTTACCTGGGCTGTGGTCATCTATCCCAAAGACTTGTGTCTCCTACTTCTTTCAAATATTGGCAGATATAGAGGTTCAGAGGGCCCCTCTGGAGGGGTTCCGGGTTCTCCTGACCCTGAACAAAGGACAGAGAGAGAGAGAGAGAGAAAGAGAGAGAAACAGAGTTGTAGCCAGAGCTGCAGGTTTCCTGAGGAACGATCCACTTCCAAGGGAGGAAGTGGGGCCTCCAGCTTGCAGAGCTGGGCTTCCTGTTACCTTAGAGCCGGCTTTCCCCTCATTTGCATAGCAAGGATATTTTGGTTCATTTGCATAGAGTAGGCTTTTCTGAGTGCTCTGTTTGTCACATGTAGTTCACACAAATTCATATGTCATCATCTCTCACTAGCATCTTAAACCTGCCCCCAGGGGAGTGCCACACTGTTACAAGGAGCCCCAGGCCGCCCACAGACACTTTGGAGTGCTTGGGTCCTGAGCTAGAGGCACAGGCAGATTTTCAGATTAAGAAAAGGAATTTTTTTTCTTTGTCAGCTTTGGTGGACTGGGGGTGTCCATTTGTGAGAAGGGAGGAGTTTCAGGGTTTCCTCTTTGCCAACTTTATTTTTTCATATACTAATTTTGCAAGGCTTACTGCCCACTGGTGGCCCTAATCAAGTAAGAAAGAATGGGGACTTCTGTGCTGGTTGGGGTGGCCACTTGTACATGTGACAGAACAGGTTGTGGTTCACCAGGGAAGAGAGAGGTGTTAGGGTTCTCAGGGAGAAATAGGCTACCTGCAGGGATCCTGCAGAGGATATCAAGGGCTCAGATGCCTTCATGTGGAGTCCTTCAGAGGAAGTGACCTTGGAGAGCAACCTGGGGGCAGAGAGGCTGTATTAAAGGCCGTGTACAGGGCTTTACCTCGGGCTGCAGAGAGACCATTTTGTAGAGCCTGGGAAGAGAGGATGACCACAGTCTCAGAGTGATAAGAGGCTGAGAGGACATCCAGTTGCACTTTTAGAGTCTGGATGCTGAAGGGGAAGAGGCCAGTTGCCCTGGAAGCTGTGGGCATCCCCAGGGAAGCGGAGGTGAACCAGACATGGGGACAGCAGACCTGGCCAAGTGGAGAAGTGGTGGGATTCACAAACAGTGCAGTGGTAGATCTTAGGAGAGACAAGGATGCTTCAAGAGCTCCATGGGAGTGTGTAGGTGGCCATGTGTGACCCCAGGCCCAAAGATTCACAGATAGTTAAAAGATTTTGAGAAAGCCCCACGCACCCTCGGTTCATAAACCAGATCGCGATCCCGGTCTTACATTCGGGCAATGCCGGTCTTCTAGTTCCTCTGCTCTGGCAGAAACTAGGGGGACAGAACAGGCTGGAAGCCCCAGGCAGAACATCCCGAGGGGTCAGGGTGGCTGTTTCCAGAACCAAGGGCAGCAGAGTCCTCTCCAGAACTAGCCTGTGTTCTCTCTTGCATGTCGTGGCAGAGCGGGATGCCTTCGACACACTTTTCGACCATGCACCGGACAAGCTCAACCTTGTGAAGAAGGTAACTCCCCGCCTCAATGCCCCGGTTCCCATCACCACCCTTCGTGGGACCTGTGTAGACTCCACCTAGACTCTCTGCAGACCCAAGGCAGGCTGAGATGGGATGAAAGGTGTTTGGAATTTCTAAGGTTTGCCTTGTATGTTGAGACCACCCTCAGCAATGTGTGGCATGGCATGGCATGGCATGGTTCTTTTACAATAGGTTCACGTCGACCAGACCAAATGTACAGCTTGATCCCTGTTGGCACTGTGCCATCAAGACTAGGCCTGTCTTAAGAGTATGGTGTCTGATACACAGTCTTTTTGTTTAGCCACCAGAGAAGGGTCTGCAGGGTCTTAGTCCGCCATGTTGGGGACTGGAGGAATTCTGCAGAAGGTTGCTGATAGGGCCTTTGCTTCTCTGCTTTGACAGTCTCTCATCACATTTGTGAACAAGCACCTGAATAAGCTGAACCTGGAGGTGACCGACCTGGAGACCCAGGTAGGTAGGGCTTCGGTGAAGGGTCCTTCTGGCCTGTGTGTCTAGTAACTCTCGACTCAGGTAGGGTGCGGGAGCCAGTGGGACCACCTTGTCTCTCTCAGGGGGAGCTTCCGGTATGTACCCCATTGCATTGTTTCCGCCCGACCAAGCTGGCTGCTCAGACTCTGCTTCCTGCAGCCCTGGCAGCCAGAGACTGAAGGCTGAAGCCGTGAACTCTGCAAGCTTCGGGTCCAGAGTTACAGTTTAGCTCCTTCCCAGCCCCTGTGTGGTTTCTGCTGTGTTCCTGCAGGCGGGCTTTGGTGTTCTTGGGTCCGTAGATGTATTACTTCCATCTTCTGTGGCCTCCTCCTGCGTCTGCCTCTCTGCGCCTGTGCATCTGCATTCGGCACACAGCTCTCTGTGCCCCTCCCACCCCCACCCCGTCTGCTTCCCCAGAGTTAGTGTCTAGAAATGGATGCTTGAGAGCAGAGAAACATCGTGCTGGCTTAGAGCCCACCCTAATGGCACAAATGTAACAGAGACCCTGTTTCCAAACGGAGTCACATGCACAGAGTCTAGGGATTAGGATTCAAACTTATTTTGGGGAGAGGCAGTTCAACTTTATTATCCACCCCCAAGACTCCATCCCATCCTGCCACGGGGCCCTTTGTTTCAAAGGTCTATGGGCCTAAACATTCTGCATCCTCTGCTTCTATGGCAAAGACTCTGCAGCCTCACATTTGGTCCTGTGGCAGCATGGGAACAATGCCCCATCCAACCAGGGGCCAGCGAGATGGCTCAGCTGGTAAAGGTGATTACCAAGCAAACTTAATGACCTGAGTTTGATCTCCAGGGACGCACAACTGACTCCTGCAAGTTGTCATGTGACTACATGCGCACTGGGGCATGAACCGCTTGCCTGCCCCACACATCATACAACTTACAAGAATAGAAATAAAATAATCATCCATTTGGGGAATAGGGACAAAACACTTCTGCCATATGTATCTCATATGCTCCCTTCTCCAGCTAGAGCACCATCGTGGTGACAGTCTCCAAGCAGACAAGCCCTGCGGGTCCCACAGAATTCTCCCCAGCTTAGTTGTGAGTTCTGAGTCTGAATCCTCGGCGGTGAAGACATCCCTAATGCGCGGCTGATCCTTCCTAAACCCCTGGGCGTTTTCTTCTATTGCTTTCTCTTTTCTTAACTTCTCTCATTTGCTTTTCTAATTAAAAAAGTAATTCAGGTTCATCGCAGAAATGTCTGAAAATGAAGATAAGGAAAATAAACGGAAGTCACCATAGTATATCACCCCACTGCACTCCTCCCGGGGATTCTGGGTGTGTGCAGTGTGGTCTGCCGAAGGGAGCAGATTGTGTATGTCGTGTGTGTGCTTGTGCACACGCGTGCCCGTGATTTGCAAAAGCAGCGCTTATCCTTAGCTGTTTGCTCATGAGGCACTTGCTGCGTGACACTTTCGATTTCCTGAAGCCTGGGAAGCTAATGTGAAAAGCTGTGTCTCTCAGTCCCTACTGCCCACCCCTCCCCCAACTCTGCCTGGGTTTCTTTCAAAGTGTTCATGCATAAAACAACACACTCTCCTTAATAGCAGTCGATCACACTGGACAGCTGGTTTGTAATGTGTTGTGTTTTTTTTCCCCTCCCTAAATACATTTGGGCATCTTTTGGCGAGAGATGGATGTCTCTGTCTGAAGCTATTTCACTTTTCAGTCATATTCATTCTCTCGGTCTCTCCTCTGTCTGTCTCTCTCTCTCTCTCTCTCTCTCTCTCTCTCTCTCTCTCTCTCTCTCTC